CACACACACACACACACACACACACACACACACACACACACACACACACACACACGCACACACACGTTCGCGCACATGTGAATTCTGTGATATTCCTGGACACAAGTTTCGAAAGCATGGCAACTGAGCCCTTACGCGCTTTCTGTTCTCCGATTTGCAAACCCTCTGGATTTTATTTCGCTGCCCCTCGGAAATTAACCATTTTCCTTGTTGGTCTGAATAAAATGGGACGAGAGAAGGCCAGGAAATAACGTCCAGGGGACAGGCATGGCAAGACGAAGACGTGAGGGTGCCGCCATCTGCCTGGCCGCCGAAAAAAGACGATGAACAGGAGGGGGAGGAGGAAGGGAAGGAGACGGACAACGGGGGAAGGGGGAAGAGGGAGGGAAGGAGTGTGGGGAGAGGGCAGGAGGAGGAGCAGGAGGAGGGGAGGGCGGAGGGAGAGGAGGCGAGAGAGTGGGTGAGCGGGGGGAGGAGGCAAGGCTAGAAAAGGGTGGCTCCTTACACTATCTTGGGTGAAATGCAGAGGTGCAGCATCTGCCAGAAAGTGTACTCTATGTCCATTTGCCGCCACTGCAGTCAGAAGACAGATAAAGACAAGCAAAAACGATGAGGACACGAGAGGGCGAAGGAGGGTCCAAACTCACATAGGAAGAAACGTTGGGGGGGGAGAGGACGCAGAAGCATGGGGTAAATAAGAGAAGGGATAGAGCACAAGAGGACAGAAGAGGGATGGGGAGGTGGAGATCAGAAAAGAGGTCAAAGGAAGAGGAGGACGAAGAAAAACAGCGACAAGGCGAACACGGGAAAAGGGGAAGCAGAAAGAGCTGAAACAGGAAAATTTACAGGAACAGAGCAAAAGGACGAAAGAGAAAAAAGATGTGCAAAGGCAGACAGAAATCCAGGGAATGGGATGCGATCGAGATTAGAGACACCGCCAACAACGATTGTGACAAGCAGAAACAGGCAAAAGGCACAGCAGTGAGAGAGCTTCGATGGAAACCATCCTTCTTCTCTGTGTGTGTGTGTGTGTGTGTGAGAGTGAGAGAGAGAGATGCTGTGATAAACCAAGAGAAGCGCGGAAGGATCGTTACCATCTAAGCTCTCTCACTGGTTTGCCTGTTGTCTGTTTCTGCTTGTCACAGAGAGAGAGAGAGAGATGTTATGATAAACCAAGAGCAACACACACACACACACACACACACACACACACACACACACACACAACACAACACCAGGAACGAGTGCAGTTTGATCGAGACAGGGGTTCGATCGCTTGATTAATCAATTGATCCTTACACCGGGGCCATGCTAATCTTTCTTATCTGTATCTTTCCATTTTTTTCCCGTGTGTCTTTCCCGAAAGACACAAATCAATTGATCGAATGAGCAGCCGATCGTGATACCCGATCGTTAACTTAGCTGATTGATAAATGGAGTTCTAGACTAAGTTGACAAGCAAGACAAGTGATTGCCGATCAAGTTTCGTCCATTGATTAATGGAGTTCTAGACTAAGTTGACAAGCAAGACAAGTGATTGCCGATCAAGTTTCGTCCCGTTTGACTTCCAGCCTTATCTTTCTCCTCTTGTAACTCCTCCCGTACTCCGTCCTCCGTTGGCCCCCTACGCCGCCCTCTGCCTTCCGCTGGCCCCCTACGCCGCCCCAGCCACCATCATCATTCTCCCCGTTTTCTTGCGCTCCTCCGCCAAGGCAACTCTCGAGCTTGTTTTTCCCTTCTGCGTTACGTTGTTCTATACATGTCCGTCACAATCGACGTCTAGAGGTACAATATGTTTGAGAGAGATTGCTAATCAGATGCTTCCCTGGCTTTAATTTAAACATTCTCCTTTTTTTAATAGCTATCGTCATTCACCAACCTCGGATGCAGGACGCCGTGCTACGAGCGCGGAGGTACACACACACACACACACACACACACACACACACACACACACAATGCACGCACGCCACACACACGCACACACGCAGACACGCACACAAACACAGTCACAAGCACACACTCTCACAGGCACATAATCACACGCACACACACGAGAGAACTGAGATGGACACAATCCCTCCGAACCGCTCTTGGCTTGCCGTAGATCTCCCTCGCTCTCTGGACAGAATCCCTCTGTTCTGCTCTTGACTTGCCGGAGATGCTTCTCTCTCTCTCTCTCTCTCTCTCTCTCTCTCTCTCTCTCTCTCTCTCTCTCTCTCTCTCTCTCAACACCAGGACAATTGTCAAAAGCACAAAGAACAAAGCGACGAGAGAACCCAGATGGACACTCCTGATCTGTTCTCTCTCTCTCTCTCTCTCTCTCTCTCTCTCTCTCTCTCTCGCGCGCGCGCGCGCGCGCGCGCGCTCAACCCCGCGGCTTCGTATTTATTGGTTGTTTTGGCGGTGGAGAAGGAAAGAAAAAAAGCCTTTGATGTTTATTTATCCGTCACCTTTTCTTTTCCCCGTGATGTGGGCCAGCGCTGTGATCCAAGAGGGGAAGAAGGGAAAAGGAGACAGTACAAGGTGGAGAGCAAACCCCCCTCACTTGCACTTGCACAGGCACTCTGCAAGTGAGGCGAAGAGGGAGAAGAGACTGCACAGACAGTCTGCAAGGGAAACACTTACAGATTCTTACTGTATTCATATGAAAGATATCAAAACGAGATGATCCAATAGGAGAAATGCCCACCAAGGAGACTGTCGTAAAATCATCATTAAACACAACTTTACCGAGCAAACCCCTCTCCCATCATTTCGTATAACGTTCATAACTCTCTCTCTCACCCCTTATTGCTCTTTTCTTACCTTTCACCCCAGAACTACAACACCCCTCTTATCAATCAATTCCATGCCATAACTCAGTGCGCGTCCCCCCCCTTAGTGAACCTGATATGCCATTTGCATTTCCTCTTCTACTCCTGGAAAAAAAGACCTTTTTCTTTCAATGGCCATCCCATCCCGTTATCATGTCTATCTGATCTGAGTAATCCCATATGGGCGACGTTGTTTTTCTCCTTTTTCTTCGTCTTTCTTTCTTTGCATTCCTGAGCAACATCATCAAGGACCCTCCCACATTAATGCACTTTCTCTTTCTGCTCCCCTGAAGAATGATGATCAGTCATCTTTTTTTTAAGAAAACCGCATACGCCCCTTCTATTCTGGGGGGCAACAGTCCGGTTACTTTTTACCGGCAACCAGATGACAAGTTCAAGTACAAATGAAGAGAACAGAAGAGGAACCAGATATACGCCGGCAGCCCGAGGCGGTGCAGGAGGGGCGGGGGGGGG